TATGATTTTGTTTAGTATTAAACTGTTGAACAAGCTGAATTTTGTGCTCCAGAAAATGCTCTAATTTAGTGAAAGACAAAGAGTGCCTTTACATATTAAGTGCTTTATCTTGATCGTGAGATGTAGAATTTATCTGCCAACTAAGTATTTAAACTTTTAGAAGAGATAATTTAATATGGTATCAAATTTACTATTCAAGTATCAAAATCATAGCTTTAAGTCTCGACATTCCTTGTTAATGAAAATTGGTAATGTGCTGAAACAATTTGGTTGCACGTGAGTTTTCATGGTTGCGGTACTTGAGAATGAAACTTTTCCTACAGACTTAGTTATTTTATAATAATTGGTCGTACTCATCCTTAATCATGATAGAATAAGAAAGCCCTACTTGAAATGAAGAGAGGGCTATTTTCAGTAGGATTCTTTCACTCTTGCAATAAGATCCTCGGTATTCTACTTCTCATGAAATATAGCATTGATAATCGCCTTTAGGTATAAACGGTAATATATTGTTTTTCAATCCTAGTACAATGCACTATCAACAGACTAATTGGCTTGGGGTATCCTAAAATCTGCTAAATCTTCTAATTGCCGACAAACGTTTTGATGAGCTTTTTTTTGTTCGTGATGGTTCTGAGAAAGATTCTTAAACAAACAAGGACTGTGACAGGTGCCCCCTATTGGAGGGGGCGTTGGTGGGGCCGGTGCCACCTCTAATAGGGGGGCGCCAAATAGGTGCCTATCACATAGCATGTCATGACCTCTGTCACAGTAGTAGCCCTCTGGTTCTGAAGGCTGATGAGGCAACTGAATCAATGAATTTGTGGGTGTTGAATTTTATGCTCAATAATAAAGAGATAAAAAAGAGAAATCAACACAATTATTTACATTGTTCGGTGATGTGCTTATATCTACGAGAGCGAAGCGGAGATAATTTTATTCAGTATGAAAAATAAGGTTACGACATTATTATTTATACTAATCCTAATCGAGACCATACAAGAATTTAGTACAAGAAAAAAAACCATCTACCATACCGCGGCAACCCCAACACATTCAGCATCTCTAGCAACCAAATAGTGAACTAATCCCGAGCAAGGCTGATGCCTGAGTGGAGCGAAGTGGAGTGACGCCATCGCCCTATTTGATCGGGAATCTGTATTTCACTCTATATGAGTCACATACACAACAGTGGGCTAAAAAGGAAACAAATGGTCTTATCAAAGAAATTCTACCGTCTGATTCTGTTGATGTTTCAACAAGACTCATCATTGTAAATGCTATGTATTTCAAAGGAGCCTGGAACAAGAAGTTCGACGCTTCAAAGATAATAGATGATGAGTTCTTCCTCCTAGATGGGAGCTCGGTGCAAGTAACTCTCATGACCAGCGAAGAGGATCAATATATACGTGCCTTTGATAGTTTTAAAGTTTTGAGCCTTCCATACAAACAAGGTGAAAACAAGCGAAAGTTCTCTATGTATTTCTTACTTCCTGATGCCAGAGACGGACTACCAGCTTTAGTTGAAAAATTCAGCTCTAAATCCGGATCCTTTGAGAATCACGATTCATATGAACAAGTGGATGCGGGTGACCTCCGTATTCCAAAATTCAAAATATCTTTTGGTTTTGATGTTTGGGGTTACCTAGTTCTGGCAATGAACTCACTGAGATGGTGGATTCTTCCATTGGTGAGAACCTTTATGTTTCGAGAATTTTCCACATATTGTTGATTAAGGCAAACGAGGAAGGCACAGAAGTTGCAGCTGCAACTACTGCTGCTGAACTATTCAATAGTTTACCGTTCGTGGATAAGAAAGATTTTGTGGCTGACCATCCATTATTGTTTTTTGTTAGAGAAGATACATGTGTGGTAGTGCTCTTTCTCGGGCAGATTCTTAATCCCCTCTCAGGTTAAGTAAAGCAACTGCACTTTGTGAAGGCTTGCAAACATTTCTAGTGCTGTAATTTTACTTGTATCATTCTAAGTTCACAAACATTGATCAACAACACTGTCAAACCTCTTAAACTTCCATGCTCATTCTTGTCAATACTAGATTTTGTATTTGGAGACGATGGATTAATATACCCAGTAGTTTGATGTATATTATTTTTGTTGCATAGTTTGAACGTACTTTATAGTTTTAGCCCCTGTTTGACGTATACTAAAATTATAAACATTTTTAGTTAATTTTAATAAAAATTAGTGAAATATGTAATCGAAAAGTTGTTGATTCTATGAAATGAATGGTTAAAGTTAATTGTTGATTTTGACTTGAAACTAAAATCAAATTTTAATAATACCTATCCAGGGCATATTTAAATTATCAAAACTTCACCATACATTCCCCATGGGAACAAGTTTGTCACAATTCAAAATCATGTACTACCAACTAATATGTGATAAGTCTCAAAACTAATTTTTTCTACACAAATTGGTTGCAACTTGTGAGTTTGTAGAAGTTATCGCGATCACCAAAGTTATTTAAAAAAATACATTAACATTATTTCGTAATAAACTATCCCTCTCAACCAAAAACAAATACATCTATTTTACTTACCCTTTTAACATTCTGTTGTACTTGTATCCATTACTAAAGAATATTTAAATGACCTTATTTTTCTCAATATTTTGAAGATTCATTGACACATATCGTTTCTATTTTGAGAATTTTTTTTATAATAGAGAAAAATATGTTAGATTAAATCCACATGTATCACAAACTTTTATGAAATCGCGTTCAATCGTAAGCCTTGCTTCCAGAACACGCCTACACGTATTTTGTTAGTAGATATGCTAAAGTTCATTCCAAGCATGTATGTACCCAATATAAATAAGAGTTTTGCAGAGGAGATGTCATTGTTGCACAGGGCAAAGGTTGCTTTGGGTGTTCTCATCGGAGGATGCCGAACTTTTAGCAGTGCAATAGATTGGACAAGGCTCGATTTTCTGATTTGCAGATTCACTCTCTTCGAGTGGTGCAAAATTAACAAGAATATTATAGCTTAGCTTTAAACACACATTGTAGGACGTATGATGTGGCTCTTATACTTTGAGATAAGTAAATAAAGTGGCACACAAACTTGCGTCGTTTGCTACCATTACCTTTGTCTTATCTAACTGGATTGGTAGTGCTCCACTATTCATCTCATCCATGATTCGTGGCAATTTGGTTAAATGAAAGTTTTCTTGAATTTTTTTTCAAAAAAATGTAAATATTACTAAGTTTGTTGTAGAAAGAGAGCTCAGTCTTTCCAGAGAAAAATATTGCATCAAATTATCACAAAAAAGTTTTAAGCAATCAGAGCAGAGTCAACAAACTACTACCTTGAGAGAAAAGTTATTATATCCTAATTACTTGATACTTGAAGTGATAACACATTATACACTCTGTATTTATAGCTTAGAATATTGTCGAGCATACTTATCTTCTTTCCTATAAAACAAATTTTAGTAGTCCAAATAACTTGCGTAATTCACGTCATAATATCTAACATAACTCAAATGTATTCATTTATCTGTGACTTAAATCATACATTTTTTATAATAAATTTTCTTCTATCATATTTTAAAACATGAAATTGTGAATCGTTTTCATTACTCTACATTATTAATTATTAGATACTTCTGGATCCATTGCATAACAAAATCCAAATTTATATTTTTGTGTGAACATATTCTTTGAGTGAAACCTTTTCAAATAATTTTTTTATCTCAAGAATCACCAACCTTAGCTTCCATTTTTTTTACTTAAAAAACCCTTTATTCTCCCAAAATACATGCCCCAGAAATCATCCTCCAATAGCACAAATCCACCTTTGATTTATAAGCAACCCTCGTCACAAAGCAAAGTAGCAAAACCAACACCTTACCCTCAAAACTTCAACCAGTCCCCATAAGTACTCTGCATTTTCAATTTTCCAATGTCACAGCTAAGAAGCATAAAAAAATTTTTAAAAAGAAAAAAAAGTTCTTAAACATAATGCACTCTGTGCAGAGAGTATTAAGGCAAGCCCACACAAGCATCAAACAACTTTTCCATTCTGTGTTTCCAAGAGCCCCTCCATTCTCTCGCTCGAGAAAGTCAGCAACGCACGGATCAACAATGGACATTCGGGAATCCATTAGTAACCAGACTGACGTTTCTTTGTTTCTTGCAAAGCACTTGGTTTCTACTAAGGCCAAGGACGCCAACCTGGTGTTCTCGCCGGTGTCGATTCATGTTGTGCTGGGCTTGATCGCTGCCGGGTCTAAAGGCAACACGCTAGACCAGCTACTCAGTTTTCTCAAGTCCACGGGAACCGAAGAGCTTAATTCTCTTTCATCCCAGCTCGTCACTCTCGTCTTCGCTGACGGTGGTTCGCTCGGTGGGCCCCAATTGTCCTTCGCAAACGGCGTTTGGATTGATCGGAGTCTTTGCCTGAAGCCCACGTTTAAAGAAATTGTCGATAATTCTTATAAGGCTGCTGCCAGAAATGTTGATTTCCAGACCAAGGTTGGGTTTTTATTATGATCTATGCAGAATTTGTGTTCGACGAAAAATGCAATTTTTATTGATTTAATAAAATCAATTGTTAATAGTTCTATCTGAACACATAATAATCCGTTGGAATTCCGTATGTTCTTTTGTAGTGATCAGTACTTTATTAACTCAAGTGCCTTAGAGTGTCAACGTAGAAAATAGAATGTATTGAAATTTACACTATGCTCAACTAGGAATTTGAAAATTTACAATGTTAACTGAGATCTATTGGTGTGGCATTTGTAGTTGTTGGGTACCTTCGTGATTGATTTTAATGCGGACTGTCTTTATTGAGTTGTGAATATGCGGATGGTTATCCCTTAGTTGAGATAAATGTTATTTCTCAGTTGTGACTTGAGATAACTGCTATACAATCGTAGTAGGTCGAGCTTATCCGTAACCATGGTAGTGGTGAGTACGCGTATTCTTGTCATTATGCCCCAAAATGGCCCTCACAGTAAGATATGAGGCTTATTGTTAGATCATTCCAGACTCATGGCTTGGTCATCCACTGTATCATGCTTTGTTCTGGTAGGGATGTCAATTGGGCCGAGTCGGCTCACGGCTCGTCGGTTCGGCTCGTCAAAGCTCGGCTCGTGGGCTGACGAGCCCGAGCTCGAGCCGAGCGGGGGGTCCCGTCCAAAGAGCCAAGCCCGCTTGGCTCGCCGAGCCCACGAGCTGGCTCGTCCAAAAATGTGGAAAAAATAAAATTTTATCAATAAAATTTGAAAAATTTGCAA